ACGTTATCGCACAGGGCTCAAACTTTGCACAGGGTCTCTGCTAGGTCTAATCTATCACTAGACGTGCGTACCTCGAAAATGTTTTTCCGGTGAGATGGCCTAGAGGGCGCCGCGGGCGCGGGGCACAACGATCACCAGTAAAGTCCGAAAAGATCAGAGTCTTTCCTCGCGAATAGTTTCACATTATTCAGGCATTCTTCTCTTAAAGCGATAGTAAATGTTTAAAGCCATGAGCCTCACACCAGGGCTGTTGTGCGCTGGCAACTCCCTGGCGGGGCTCCAGGGCGGGCCCCTATATGATATGCAAGCCCGCCGCCCTCCGCTGTCGCCGCGGGTGACCTATGGCGCAGCCAGCAGGCGCTTCGCTTGCACACAAATTCCACCCGATGCGGGTTCGCGTGTTAGCATATCGTCTCCGACCGTGACGTCGGATGTCTGTTCGGCACTGCGCCGGCCCCGCCCAGCCTTGGGCCCCAACGCAACGTCGGGTCGGGTCTGAAATGAGCTGGTTGGGGGAGCAGGAGACCGCTGCTCCAGTTTCGGCGGCCGGATGACTTTCCAGAACGTTTCGGAGGAAGTATCGAGGGGGCGTAGCGCAGATGGTAGAGCGATCGCTTAGCATGCGAGAAGTACGGGGATCGATACCCCGCGCCTCCATGACACCTTATTTTCGTCGTTTTCGACTTCCGATGCCAATCTCGAATAAAGTCCTCAAAAGGTTCGTGTTTTGTTTAACTTTCTGAAGATAAAACGCGACAATTTTCGGGACTGTATCCGAGATCGGCACCCGAAGTCGTTATACAGTCCGGCGAGCTCTTCTATCACCATCCTAGCTGAGCGCTCAATGTGCGAGATGCAAGTGAGTGGTCTGGAGCTGGTCAGGAGTGGCGGCGTAGCCTCGTCGAGCGCCGTTGGGGTTGGGCAACCCATCCTGCGCCAGCGCTGCACCGGACGGCTAGCGCCGAGTGGCGGTACGCATACAGCGAGCGCATCGAGATACGCTCAATTCCTTTCCAGGGGATTTATGCAGTTTCATTTTTCAAACTCATCAATTCTCCTCATCTCACCCCTTTGGGCAGGACACGCACCC